TTACTTTAAGTTTTCTTACTTTTATATTATTTTCTTTAGCAATAGCATTATTATTGCCTGTACAATTCTTTTTGTTCAATTTTGATGCATTTTATTTAGTATTATCTTCATTATTATTATTACTATTTGTATTACTATTATTACTATTATTATTATTTCCTTGTTGTTGTTGTTATTATTATTATTATTGTTATTATTATGATTTTTTCATTGCTGTCATGTACCAAATTTCGGTTTGCTCTTAGAGGGCCTGCCCTAAAGCACAAATAAATGCTTAATCAATCAATCAATCAATCTCTCTCTGCTCGTGTAGACACGTGTCGTTTCGAGCTCCGAAAGGAAATCTAAATTTGAGAGGTATAACTGTGTTGTTTGAGTAGCAAAGTTAACCAGTGGTAGAATATACCATGGGAAAATAGGGAGAGTGTTATCTATCGTGAATGGAAAATAATATGAGTAAAAAGTGTAAGTTTATAAAAATCGGGCGTTGAAGAATAGCCACGGCGACCATACAGGTGAACCAGCGTAATTTGACACTGCCGCGCTGCCGGACAGCGCCGTCCGAGTGACGGGACTGCTGGCATAATTACGACGAAATCTGGCCGATAAACGGAATGGAGGTGAACACCCAAAGACCTGTTATATGTCGGTAATGCAGGAAGGACATTAAAACGGAAGTAATAAAATGTATACCGTGTGATAAAGAGTTTCACCCTAACTGTATCAAACTCCATAAGGTATATAATTCAGAAGATGAATTAGTACCTTGTAATGGAAAAACGGAAATATTTACCGTAAAGGTAAGAAAAGCAAGCACAAGTGACAGTGGAGCGGGCGGAAGCAGTGGAGCCGAAGGCGACCGAGCATCAGGGATGGATGGTAAAATAGATGCCATTTATAAAATGATAAGAGAAATAAAGAATGAGATGGTGGAAAAACAATTAATTAAGGAAGCAATAACGGAGGCTGTGGATGAAGAGATGGATAGAGTAAGACAGGAAATACAAAATTGGAAGGAGGAGGAACTGAAATCGACTGTAAGCAGTATAATAAAAGAAGAAATAAGGAAATTAGCGGACTTTCTACCAATGATGGGAGCAAGTACTCAGGAAACAGGGAAGAAAAA